CCCCCCTAATATTAAAACCAAACCTCCGAAATCCAGTTTTAATATTAGGGAGGGGGGGGGGGGAGGGGGCCCTTTAATAATAGGGGGAAGGGATTACGAAGTAAGTCTCGGAACTCTTGGAACGGGCCGAGCTCTCACGCAGCAGATAACTGGGCGCACATGCCGCATGCGTCATGTGAAGAGCAGCAGGGCCATAGCTTTTCCTATTTGAAGGAATTTTCCTGATGTCGCATGCTTATTCAACATATCAGTAACATATCCATGTGCTGCAAAGGCGGCTCCAGGGTATTTGTCTCCGAACCTCGACACACAGCACAGTCTTGGTGTTGCCAGGGCATCGAGGGTGAGGGCGGCCCGAATCGTCGCATACTCGCCGCTTCAGACACGCAGCTCAGCTGCAACGAGCACCCTTCGTGGGCGTTTAGGATTCTGCCGTAGTACCTCGGGCATAGCTACGGCACTCGCAGCCATGCCGAGTCCATGCATGGTTGGCTTTGTAATGAAGCTATAAGGTCAGGTGGAATTGCGGGCTATGCTCAGGCTTGGCCTAGCATAGCATGTGCACGCTGCAACCAGGAGGTGGTTGCGACATGCTTCTCGCTTCCCAGTTCCGCCCCCCGACAGTCTGCACCTAGTAAGGCGCCACTTCGGTTCCTTACTTGGCACTTCGGGTTTAGACTTTGTAGTTTTGCCGGTTTGTATACTTAAGCAGTAAATGCTGACAGTCAGCATATCTTGGCGGCATGTAGCAGAAGTCCATGCGAAGGTCTGATGGAGGATCAAGTGAGAGTGCATCCTCAGCTGGGCAAGGCTCTTTTGCCGTGCCCTCAGAGCTTTCCGAATGAATGCATGTATGTATGTGTGTATGTATGTATGTATGCATGTATGTATGTACTGTTTTCATGAATTTCTATCTATAGGTATACAAGTATGCATATCTATCTCTAGATCTATGTATATATATATATATGTATATGTATATGTATATGTATAACTGTGTGTGCATGCGTATATGTATGTATGTATGCATGTATGTATGTATGTATGTATGTATGTATGTATGTATGTGTGTATATATATAGGCGACACTGTTACTGTAGTAATATTACTATTATTATTATTATTAGTAGTAGTAGTAGTATAGTAGTAGTTTTAGTAGTAGTAGCAGTCAGTCGCAGTAGTAGTCGCAGCAGCAGCAGTAGTAGCAGTAGCGGCAACTAGTAGGAGTAGTAGTAGTAGTAGTAGTAGTAGTAGTAGTAGTATTGGCATTGG